ATGTACGTAAGTAGCTGTGTGAAAGCTGACTGCCTCGGTGTCGCAGTGGTAGCGTATGCGACTGCTGTGCCGAGGTCTCGGGTTCGATTTCCGGGTCGGACCAAATGTTTCCTATGTATAATATGTATGTATTTACGCACACCTTTATACGTCGCATTTCATTTATGATACTAGAAAAGTAATTTTCATATTACGTAAATATTACATAATAATTACTTACTCAGCGTTACGAGTATATCTAAAATAACTATTAATATTAGTACAAAAAGTTGATGTGTAATGGTGGTCAACCATTGTTACTTCCTATGTCGATGGTCAAGAGAAAGTGAAATCTTAGAGTAGGATGGGTGTGTATCGGCGTAGGTGTAACAGAGACAACAACACTCCCTGAATCACGCACCGTTTTGAGATGAAGTGTTAAGTAACCGTTCACTTGTGTCTGGTGAAGATAAAGCGGTTTGCACACACAAGATGTCTGGTATTATTTAATACTTAAAGAATTCAGATTGTCGTGGAAAGAGTATGTTCGAATACTTTAATAAATAAGTAATTACAAAAGTTTCACCAATGTTCTTGAGTCTATATTTAGGCAGAAAAATGTCTGCCGTCACAGTGGACATAATTTGACTTTTATTATTTAATTTGCTGCATTAAGTGGAAGTTTCATATTAATACAACATCATTACTTACACCCTTTAATTGCTCTTTAATTTGAATTTTCACTTTGTCATATTTGTATTTTTTGTATATGTGAAACAAATATTTACGTTCGAATCGTTTTGATTGTTACCACATACTTCCGGTAATGTTAAGATAAATTGGGACTAAAACTATATATCTATCTAAAAACGATGTATGTATGTAACGAATTATTTCTGAAATACCTTAAAATCTTTAAAAGAATTGAAAAAAAAATGGTAGGAATAGGAAAAAAACTCGTCCCAGAAATCAAATAAAAGTTAACATATCCTGTTCGTTGGTCAAATTTTAATTATATAGAACTTTGTTGTGGTCGTATATAAATTCTCTTTAGAATACACTGCGGACAGTAGCACTACTAAGCGCTTAAATACCACTCAATTTAAAAGAACTCTACTCTACTGTAAGTACTTGTTAACTACAAAATGAAATTTAAGACTGACTGTACAGATGGCGTAGTGGTTTTAGCGGTCACTTCGCCGCTTCCTACTACGCTGAGTGTTGTGGTTTCGATCTTCACACGGAACGACACTTTGTGTGATCCACGAATAGTGGTTCTGAGTATGGGTGTTCTTTGTCATTAATATTAAATGATACTAGCTTCGAACCAATTTGTGTTAAATGTATTAATAAATACATACAAAAACTCGTTTCCAAAATTAAATAAAGGAAGAAGTCCTTTGTCAATATATAACGGACAGTTTAAATGAGTTTACGAGAAAACTTAAACAATCAAGGTTGAATGCAGAAGGTTCCGCAAACATAACTTGTGAATCTAACCGACTGTCTTTTCTTGTAACATAACTTATAACCAGTACTAAAGAAACAATAATAAATATTTTAAATAAGAATAAAATTGATCGAAAACACAGTTTCTGAAGACAAACTTTTGTGCTACATGCTTTATGGTGTTAAAAACGATTTTAGAGACCAAAGAAAATAGTTCCTTGTTTATTTGATAATTTTAATATGTCAATAATGTTATTAATAGATCTCAAAGGAACTATCTTGGTCTAATTAAAAGCTCCTATTTGATTATCACAACCATATTCTTTAAGGTCTGCAGTTTACAAACTTGGATGCGACTCTCGGTATCTTTGAGCTACTGTAGTCCTAGTCGAATCCAAGATTTGAGGTTTTCTTATCTATTTAGTCCCTCAATCTGTTTAAAATCTCAATTGATCTGCCTTCTATGTTTCATTCGAAACCACTACATAATCAAAGATTGATGAGTTGGTGGGAAGGGTCGACGTTAAACTGCCGCTTATAAAAGAAATCAGCCAAAACCTTTTGTTATGTTACACATAGCGTCGGTAAAATTGAGTAAACAACAAAAAGCTATGATGATGAACTAATATTTCTGATGCAATACTTATCTTGTATTAAAAGTAATAACATATAGCAAGTCATAGAAATTGTATCTATGAGAGCAAAGCTTTACAATTCGTAAAAATCTTTATGCATACGAAACCACCACGGGGCATTAAAAGTATTGTTCGACTTTCGCGCGCACGCTTTGGTCTAAAGCTTTTTTATGAATAGTTTATGCATGCGCCAATGAATTTCTTAGCGAAAGTATATTGGGCTGTGACGTTTTGAGTGTGTGTTTTTTAAATTTCATGTATCGACATAATTAATTGTTCAGTATTTAGTGTATTGGATAAACGACCGTGTGGTGACCGATTAAGAATACAAATTGTCACCACCCCAATTCATCCCGTGGGTGTCGTTAGAGCCGACTAAGGGAGTTAACTAAGAGACAACAGCACTGCAAAGAGAAGGAAAACTTGAAACAAACCCTATACCAACCCGTCTGGCCAGCGTGGTATAGTAGGCCAAAACCTCCTTTCTAAGGAGAGGCCTATGTCCAGCAGTGGACTAGTATAGGCTGTTGATGATGATGATAAACATGGAATTTTTCTAAATGATCCAATCTTTTATATCGCCAGTAAGTAAGTTTGGTTTTGTGAAGCTACAGTGTCCTTCTATCTACATATATATATATATGTTTTTTACAGATAACAAATAACTGAAACAAATACCCTCTTTTTCTTTCGTTGTAAGCAAAGAAGCCCAACAGTGATAGTAATGCATGAACAGCAATAGTGACCGACTTCAAACAGACTAGGAAGAACCATTGCTATTATAATGTCACCTGTTATATTGAGGTTACTTAATATAGTTTTTTTTTTACTTGGATTTGTATTTATTTTTAATTTTTAGTGTGCTTGGTCAGAGCTTCAACTTTTTTTTAAAAGGATTTTTGGCAAATTGTGTAAGTTACTTAAAACTTTGTGTGTAGGAATGTAACTCAGCCCTATGTACGTTATAAAAGGCTTGTCGTAATACTATTTTTGACGAGCAAATCTGCTGAATGTCCCTTTCTTACCTATAATTAGAAAAGCGACGTCTCATTCAGCGAGAATGACCAGCAGAATATTGAAAGGAGTTCAATTTGATGTGTTAATGACCACCGTCACAGTCATACAATGCTTTATTTGATTGACATAATTTCCTTTTATGAGTATTAACTTCTATAACTTGATAGAAGAGTACATTATTATTCTTAGAAGGATTAATATTATCTGAGCACAATTTGGGATAGTATCTTAAAAGACGCTGGTTTTCCAAGTTTGAAATCCTATGTTTTTGTAAAGGGAAACCGTAAAACTTTTGTATTAAAAAAGTTATAAGCTATGAAGTTAAATTTCTTAACTTGTTTTGTAGTTCTATCCGTTTGATAACATTCTTTCCTTTTCAATAGAAAATGGTTGAATAAATAAATCAAATTTAAAATGAAGGTGTGTATGTCTCGACGTCTTAAATAAGTTTTAAAATTTATATCTAGTTTAATGCCTAGTATTTAAAGTAGGCAATAAAAAGTATTATAATTGCATTTGAACTACTACTTAAATTACTTACACTTAGTTTGATTGAAGGAGAGATTTTTATAATCCTAAGCGCAGTTTTAAACCCCGATTCTGAATTCAAGTGTTCCTTTTAAAAATAACTTTGAAAGTGATACTGATGGATAACTTGGTGATCCTGTACTATCTAAGTATCAAACATGATTAATTATATAAATTAAAAAGTAACAAAAGCTATTAATCAAAATTAAAATAAGTTCACCAGCAATTAAATAACTTTTGTGGTTTTCTTTCTAAGTTATGGAAGTTATGGAACGATATTGTCACAATCTTAATTTAAACTTCAAATTCGAAGTTCATTACAAATTTATCGTGCATTGTTTACTTAAAAGGTTTTCTTGTTTCTGTAACTTCCACATTATATTTCACTTGAAAATTCATCAAAATTTTAATTACTATGAAATAATAATATATTTATAGGGTTAAATGTTATTTTACGGGCAAAAAAATTTAATATTATACTTGAACTTGGGTTCACTTGGTACATTATTATCAATACATCATTTGATAAGTTAAATAAAACCAGAGAAAGAGTGAATTAAATGAAAAAAATTTAGCGTTTCAGTTCGCGTTAAAAAAACGAATGACGCATCGATCAAGGCCCAATTTATGACCAAGCAGTTTACAAACTTTCGTACAAAACGATAATTTCTTGAAACCTTCTTGAATGCGTCACTATTTTCTTAATGTGAATAGACTATAGTCATTAATTTAAAGCCCAGATTGCTTTTACTTCTTCCCAGTTACAGTGAAAATTGATAAAATATTTACAATTCTAACACATTGTTCAATTATATACCTTTCATATTTAGATAATTATAATCTTTAGATAGGGATCGATACCTGCCTCAGAGCGGAAGGCTTATTGAATGCATTAGTATTTGAAACGATGGAAGAAATCTCAATCCTGTAGTCCTACAGAAAACTTATTCATTTAATATTACACTGATTTAGGAAAACAGCACTGTCAAGAGAAGGGAAATTAGACATAAACCCTATAACTAACTAAACTCAAACACGAATAAACACACATATAAGTACATACATGATACCTACATAAAAACGCCCAGACTAAATGGAAATGGTTCCATCAATCATCAGATTCAAGATCAGAACCACACAGTCGCATACACTACTAGCACGCTACAAAGGTTAAAAGCAAAACTGAGTGGTAGACATATTGAATTTATAGTATTTTATAAATTAAAAAATCAAATACTTCTCTACTACTAAATCATTAGTTAAAAGAGACTGTCAAGACATCCCAAAAATCGGCCTTAGATAAATGTGGTACTGGAGGCTTTTTATACGTCAGTTCTTCATAATTAATAAATTTACGAACCAAAATCTTAGTTACTACCATCGATAATCACCTCAAGGCCAATTCAATTCGATTCGCTGTGAAGTCTGGCAAAGTATTTCGAATGTAGCCTCGTTGTAAAAGCTCCACAAGGAGCATAGTTCAAAGAGTACATGCGTCAAATCCAGTATGACTTTGGCTCTTAATCCATGTACTACTGAAACTTCCACTAGGAGCATAGTCCAAAGAGTAAATGCTTTAAATCCAGTATGACTTTGGCACTTGGTCCATGTACCACTAAAAAATCCACAAGGAGCATAGTCCAAAGAGTACATGTATCAGATCCAGTATAACTTTGACACTTGATTGTTGTATTCGTACTCCTTGCCAAGAATCCTTCCATCATCAACTCAGCAACATAGACAATAATTTACAGCATCACACTAACAGCCTTGCTTAGCTGTAGTCCATTGCCAGCCATAGGCCTCTCCTTAGAAAGGAGTTTTTGACCTACTATACCAAGCTGACCAGACGGATTTCTTTGAATTTTTCTTTCTCTTTGTAGTCACGTTGAATTTGCCAATATGACTTTGTCTCTTAATCCATGTACTACTGAACCTTCCACAAGCATCATGGTCCAAAGAGTACATGCGTCAAATTCATTCACCAATCACCAATACTTAACCAGTGAACGAATACCCTTTTTTAGCAAAAGATAGATTATTATTGACCTTTTGCCCGAAATTCCATGATAAAGTAACAAAGTAATTTATTATCCTTTGTTTTTGTCCGATATTATTTTAATTTAAAATGTTAACATATTATTTCATGTTAGGGTTCGTTAATTTGAAAAAATAAACCTTCTGATAACTAAAGAGACTTTAACTACTATACTTTAAGACGTTTACACAAAACTCAATTTTGTCCAGAATGATCGCCAAGGTCGCTGGGTTACACTTATATTCACTTCGACCGCTTCGATGTTTATCGCACTGTAGCTCGAACTGAACTCACTCCAAAGAAGACGTCGATTTTTATAACACTCTTAAACAATCATTCTGGCAAATTCCAATCCCTACGAGAAAGTCTAGTGTGGGCATGGCCGTAGGGGTGTTACCAACCGGAGCTTGTTCCGATGTGAGCGTGTCCTGATGTGGGCGAGGCGCCTTCTTCCACGTCCGTTGTTCCTGCAGCACGTTGAGCCCTGGTCTTCACTCCCTTGTTGGCACCTTCGTCTCTCGGATTCAATGGCATTTCCAAATGGGTTCGTAAATTTAGAAAAATAAACCTTCTCACGACTCAAGAGAACAAATACAAATTCGTTTCGAATGTAAACAAGATAATCGTCAATCTATTTTCTATCATATGCGTACAGAACTTATTGCTCCGTGTCAACCTGCATTATTAGTAAACGGTTCCCGGAATTGCGCGGTTAATCTCACTTTCTAGAATGTGCGTGATTTTCTGTGACAGTATATTTGTCAATTTTGACAATATTTTGCACTTTATCTACGGCTTTGTTGTGAAGTAAGTGAAAACTGATCAATTACCAATTAAAGTTATTCATATATTGACATTTATATTTATATATTCACAAAGCAATGAGATAAACTCTGTGCGCTTTCTTTCTGTTGCCTTTTTTTTTTTTTAATTTAATTTTAGAAAATCCCCTCGGACCGTCACCCCACCGGGGTTTGCGGCGGGGTGGTGTGTCGGACTCGGACCGACTAAAACCACACGGTGTGCCACTCTGCGCCTGTAATAGGAGGGATCCGGGAACAGCTGTTATTAAGACATCCGGACCCCTCCTAGCGCCTGCCCGCTCCTGGTGCGGGCTCCGTCTCAAAATTTTAACCTCTCTTTAGGCGACGTCCGGCACACGCGGACGCCGCCCCCTCGCGGCTGGCCAAACTAATGCGGGTGGAGGGGAAACCCACCCCGTCCACCCGCGGCCACACTCAGGGCGGCATGAGGCGCAGGAAAGTGCTCCTCCGCCGCCCGGTTCGCCGGCGGCGGATCGGGTCCGAGTGGAGGTCGTCCTCCCGGGCCTTCTCCGCCGCCTCCTTCTGGAGCGTACTACGGCCGGTAGCGAGAGATCCACTCCGATGACTGCCCGGCGCTGCGTCGCTCATGCGGGGCAGACCGCCAGCGTGTGCTGGGCCGAGTCCTCACTGCAGTCGCAGTGGTGGCAGGCGGGACTCAGTTCCCTCCTAGCGACAGACCTTTTTGTTGCCTAGGCTAACCCCACCTGACTACCGAATTTTCTATTAATTTTGAATCTTCTTAGCTATTAAACAGTGGGTTTTATTGTTTCATTATCATGTCATAAGTTTGTCTACAGAAAAAGATCATTTGTTGTTTTTTTAGTCTCAAAGTGAAAGCAGGCTTAAAATTTCGAAAATGCAAAAGTCATAAATTTCAAAATAAACCCGTGTTAAATGAGCGTATATCGCTTTCGTTTCCGGATTCATGATTCACAGGTTGGTGTTGATGCTTTAAAAAATATTAACTACAGTTAATATTTTTTTAAGCATCAAGCTATTTGTTATTTTTATTTTGTTAAAATTAGTATCGCGTTGTGTTACGTTTAAATTGGATAATGAACATCTAATTATTTGTTATTACTAAAAGTAGGCTTTTGATGCCTCAAATTATACAATTAAAAGGTTATAAACCTTTGTTAAATTTTAATCTTCTATTTTCTCCTTTTTTTAATGAAAAGTACTCTTCGCACCATATCCTCTATTGGGAAAAACGAGGGCGTGTGTGGTACTCCCGGACAACCGGTCTACCCACTGAACCCCGCGGCGGCATATGTAATTTTACAATATTATTTTTAGTACTAGATATAGGTAGTAAAATTTAATTGGAAGTTTCCCTAACATTTACATTTTATGTGTTATCACAATTGATGCAAATTTCATATATATAAATTTATAATAGATATAATTTTCACACATCTACTTCAAAAATAGAACAGAGCTTGAAAGCTTGAAGAATTTCAAACAATTGGGTACAGGCATTTACATTTTATTCAGAAAGAATATGAATCGTGATATGAATCATGCAAATTGCATGCAATAAATTTACACTGTTAATATTTTTTAAAGCTTTTTCTTTTAAAGACTGAATTTCTACTAAAGTATATTCTATACCTATGACTTTTAGAAAGATAATATTATAAAGTGTAGCATCGAAAAATGTAATACTGCTTACAAATGTTATTATCGGTTCCAAATGTGATAGTTACTTGAAAATTTATTTATTATTAACTCATCCCCAGTAAGCTAAGGTAGACAGTATTTGTCAATAACTTAGCGAAATACAGAAATATTTCGCTAAGTTATTGACAAATAATCAAAGATTTGTGTGAAATAATCACCAAACCGAGTAATCATAATACTGTCTGTTCTGATGGGTTGCGTTATGTTCCAGCATAGCTTTAGTAATAAGCCCGTTCATTTACAGCAGACAAGCCTATGTTAGGTCTTGCAATAGTTCTGTCACCATCAGCACCCCCTAACGTAGTCCAACGATTTTGACGTGACGGAGGAAGAGCTGGACCGAGCCGTGAAGCGACTCGCCGCCCATACATCTCCCTGGGCCCTGATGGGATCACGGGCCGAGTATGGGTGTGCTTTGGCGGGCCTAGGGCTGAGGCGGTTGTTTACCAACTGCCGCCGTAATAGTGTGTTCCCTAGTTAGGGGCCTGAAATATCATGGTTCGGGTCCCCAGAGTAGCGCACCTGAGAACGGCCGTCGGGGTGGTTTTTAAGGAAACACCACATATTCCTGGCTTTTGCTTCCCCTTAGAGCCGGCGATTCAAAAGAATTTTCTGTCCCGACTCCAAAAAAGGCCTTGCAATAGTTAAATAAATGCAGTTGTGAGATTCTTATGACCTTTCACATGGGTCATCAGGGTCATCTCATCTCTGTTGTTCTAGTATTATCTTTATTTTCACATCACATCAACAGCCTTTAGTAGTCCACTGCTGGACATAGGCCTCTCATTAGAAAGAAGGTTTTGCCCTACTATACCACGCTTACCAGACGGGTTGGTATAGGGTTTGGGGTGCTAGCTAGAAAACCTCCCCGTGGTGCACCCTGGAAACGCTGGCGATGGTACTGTTTCCTCCTTGTCCTCTTGGAGGAGAGGATTATCGCCAGCGGCCAATATTCTAGCAGAAGAGGTAGCCGTTCATCGGCTCTCGGGCAAGGCCTGGTCCAGCAGGGTGGGCGTGTCTGCCGGTTGCCCTGCTGGCTCTTCGCTCTTCGGAGCATGGAGGAGGAAACCTCGGTAAAAAACCTGATGGCGGGGCCCTGTAGGGGCCACAGTTTCTCCGCTGATAGCGGTGGAGAAAGGAGGACGGGCTCGGCGTGTACTCACACTACCACCGAGCAGGCAGGGGGACGTAGTCTCCCTGTCAACCGTCGGCATATCGTAATCCCGAGAAGAGCGCTGTGGTTAAGTCTCGCGGCTCTGATCGGGGGCGAGGGTCTTGGCTTAACCGCCCGGACCGCGAGGAAGATAACCTCTCTAAAAAATTCCCCGAATCCCGTGTTCTGGTGCGTGGCCAGGGGATGCATGGCTGATGGGAAGTTCAGTCGCGAGCGCACTCCAAGCCGAGGTACCTGCGGACCCCTCGGTTGGGTTAAAAACATACGCTTGCCCGGGTAATGGGGGATCTCTGCCCGGGTGGACCTTTAGTTCTCCCCCACTCGTGGGATTATTATGGACAATATGAACAAAAATATTAAAAAACGATCGGAAAACCAATCACAAAAGAAAAAAGCAAGCAAAACGGACTCTGAAATGAAAGAGAAGAGGAGCAGTGGAGTGGATGGGTCATCCACGGAGGGTGAGATAGCGTCGGGAACGCCTATCTCGGTGGGGCTCCCAGAAGTCAGTCTGACGCTGGTCTCTGGGAGCCGAAGAGCATCGGATCGGCTGCGTTCCGGATCCGCCGCGTCGTCGGATGGCGCGGAGGCCATGGAAGCGGAACATCGCAGCGACAGCCGAAAACGCGGACGCTCAGGGGACGTGGAAACCGACACGTCCCAGGAGATGATGCCACCAAAGGTGGCAAGCAGCCGCCGAGGGAGGGCACGCAAACCGGCCTCGGCCTCGGTCTCGACCCCGTCAGGCTCCGCGTTCTCAAACGCGGAGTCATACAGGAATGTACGGGTGGACGGCGAGGCCGTAGCGGAGGAGGAGATCGCGGATCTCCTGCTCAAGGTTCGGGAGCCGGTGGGGGGAAATGCCCCCCAGGCTCCCGTGTCCGTGCAGGAGAGGGCGAAAGCGGCGGTGGCCGTCATCCACAAGGTGGCCACCAAGTCCGTGAACCTTAAGGGCTCGTTTGTGAGGGCCCTTAAGGACTCCTCCTCCGCTTTGTCGGAGGTCGTTGAGGGCCTGGTGGGCGATGTGTCTCGCCTGCAGGTGGCCGACGAGAGGCTGACGGAGCGGGTGAACGAGCTGAGCGCTCAGTTCGCCCGCTTCCAGGCGAACCTCCCCGAGCGGGAAGCCCCGTCCGCGTCCCAGCCTGCCCCTACCACCAACTCAGGGGCATTTGACTCCCAACTGCGAGAAATCCTCATCGCAGTTGGGAATATGCTGGACGGACGCCTGGCTGGCCTGGAGGCGAGACTGCCCCCTGCGCCGGTTGTGCGCCCCCCGCTCGCGTCGACACAGCGGCCTAAGGCCGCCGCTCCGACCGCGCTCCCCGTAGTGGGAGGCCGCGTCTCCTACGCGGCGGCGGCGTCTGCCCCGACTCCATCGGCTCCCCAAAAGCCGAGGAGGGGGGCCAAGGCACTGGCCCAGGCGCCGGCCAAGGCACCGTCCCAGGCGCCGGCCAAGACGCAGGCCAAAGTGCCGGCCAAGACGGGGCCTAAAACGGCGCCGAGGAGCGGAGTGGCATTCCCTCCGCTCCCCACTCCGACACCCCTGCCGGGCCCCTCCGCACCTGCCCCCTCCAACGAGGGCTGGCAGGAGGCGAGGGGCTCCAAGAAGTCCCGAAGGCGGGCCAGAAGGGCTGCCCAAAAATCAGCCCAAGCCCAGCCTTCGCCACCGGTGGCAACGGCCTCTGCAAAGAGGCCGCGGAAGCTGCAGCCGCCCAAAACTGCGGCTGTAGTGGTGACCGTGTCCCCGGAGGCGGCTGACGGCGGGTTGTCCTACGCGGCCGTTTTTAAAAAGGCCCGGGACAGCCTCGCCAACGACTTTGGAACGGTGGGGGTCAAGATGCGCCTCGCCCAAACGG